ATTATACATCCATGGAAACCATTGTGATTTTGTCTCTTTAAGAAATGCTTATAGAGCATATAATGATTATACATCCATGGAAACCATTGTGATTTATTCATTTTTCGAAACTTATACCTAGTATGTAATGGTATAGTCACTTTCAGAAATCAGTGTATAATTGTTGAAGAACAATTGATAGTGGTTCCCTAATTTTCCAGAAGTGATACATATCAAATGGGTGTGCGAGTTAATAGTCAATCAGATTTATTCCTTATACTTCCAAACCTTTGGAAAGGGATTGCCCTTTACAATATTATTCTTTTTTTATAGTTACATCAATTCAATTTAAAACAGTTTGAATACAGATTATTTGCACAAATCAATTCATCAATTATTTCCTTATTTCTTATACATTTATATATATATATTCATTACTACATTCTTGAAATATGTCTTATATGTGAACATCTTCCAGTTTTTGCCACTTCTTGCTACCAGTTTGTTTTATTTTTAAGATTTCCTTTACAATTCAGTATACATATTATCGTCCCTATCTTGAAATTACATATTCTACAATTTCTATTTTCCTTCTTTATTCATTTTTGTCCCATTTGATACATTACTACACATTATTCTTGGTGTACTAGAAAAATTATCCAGGCCTCTTGGTATTTTAAATATCCATCCATTCCTACCCTTCAGTGGCTCAACGGTAAGCTCAAAGACTTAAAACGCCAATTTTCGGTGCTCGATCACAGCGATGGGCACGTCTAGGATAGACCATTCTGCAGCTTTGCGCTTAAACAAAAAAAGTATCCCTTTTATATTTTACAATAATTACAAATGATAGCCTTCTCAGTCTTACCCAGATTTTGTTGTAAGTTATGCTCTCCCCTCTTATTGCCTCCCCAATCTTATTTTCGATCTTATTGACTTGTTTTCAGGATTTCCACTCTACCCAAACATTCTCATTTTTTTCCCACCCCTATATGTTTCTTTGTTTCCTATTCTTTTGGGGCCTGGCATGACCAGGTGGTTAGGGCACTCGAATCGCAGTCTTAGGGTCGCGGGTTCGAATCCCCGTCCCGCCAAACATGCTCGCCCTTTTAGCCGTGGGAGCGTTATAATGTGACGGTCAATCCGACTATTTGTTGGTTAAATAGTAGCCCAAGAGTTGGCGGTGGGTGGTGATGACTAGCTGCCTTCCCTCTAGTCTTACACTGCTAAATTAGGCACGGCTAGCGCAGATAGCCCTCGTGTAGCTTTGCGCAAAATTCAAAAACAAACAAATCAACCATCTTGTCCTGAACTTTTTCCTTTCTTCAAACTTGTTAATTAGATTTTTCAAGTTACTATTCTGTTCATTGAACTATCTAATATCTCATCCGTTATTCCTCTTCCCCATTTTACCTATTGCAATACTTCCTGAAACTGTTCTAAAAGTGTTCATCCGACCTTCTTCAATGCTTGCTTGTCCATTTCCTTTTCTCTCTCTCCTCAACGCTTTCAAACGTTTCTTGGTTGTTTCACTGTTTTCTGTTTCTTTGCGGATCCTCTCCTGTTTCATTTTTCTTTCACGTGATTCTTGCAATTCCGTACTTTTCCTCTCCCTCTTTTTGTCTTTCCATCCTTCTTCCTTCTCCACACCTACTCTTCCGATAAAGAACATTTCAATCCCCCAAATTCCATAAAGTTTTTTTGTCTATTCATTTGTTGGTCTTGTTATTTTCTACATAGTTTTCATGGATATCCCATACCTTCTTCCTCTTTTAGTATGACAGGGTGTGGCTTCATGGTTAGTGTACCAGACCATGCATTCGAGGATCCATGGTCCTTGCCCCATTGCCGCAAATTAAAAATCGCGTTTCACACTTTGAGTGCGCAACAAGAGTGACAGTCAAATAACATTATTCGATTAGAATACGTAAAGAATTGGTAGTTGGTGTTGTTGACAAGCTACCTTTTCTATAATCTTTCAATTCAAAATTAGAGCGGCTAACGCAGCAAGCTTTACGCGAATATCAGAAACAAAGTAAACCAATTCACTTCTATATCATATTATTATCATTTCCGAAACTTTGCGTGCATATCTCCCACCAGTATTATGTTTCCTTTCTTGCAACCTTCCTCCAATTTTACTTCATTTCAACAATCTTTTGTTTCACCCTTGGTTATTATACACTGTAAAATTATTCCCTTCTCCTTGCTTCTGTTTACTGGAATTACCATCTTCTCGTCCTCCATCTTCATTTTTCATCCCAAAATTCCTTTAACTTCTATAGTATTACCTCTTTTTACTCTTACTTTTTCTTTTCTGTCTCTGCCTGTTTTACTTTTCACTCATACTTAACTTGAAATTTCTTATCAGTACTAGTTTTTGACTCTTGCTCCACCCATATCTCCGTTAGGAATATCTTCTTATGTTTATGAACATCCTTATTCTTATTAAACAATTCTACCACATCCCACACTAACAAATTAAAAATTTCTTTTATTTTCTTCTCTTTGTTATTTTCCATTTTTTTTATCGTGGTGGTCTTCTTTTTCTGTATGCCTTCACTGTTATTTTCCGACTCTTTTCTTGCTGTCTTTTCCGTTTTTTCTTTCCTTCCAAAATATTTTCTTTTCGCTTATTAACCTTTTTTGAGTTTTACAAACCGCAAGGGAGTACCATCTTTGTGTAGAAGATACAACTAAGGTGTGGGTTATTAAAGACGAAACATCCATTTGTCCAAGCTAGTATTCCAGTTCCTCCACGTGCAAGAAATTCGTACAATATCGGCTTTGTGGTAAGAGCGTTCGACTCTTAAATCTGTGGGTCGCGGGGTCGAAGCTCGTCGCTGATTATGCTTCCCCCCTTTCTGTCATATGGACGTTATTATGTGATGACCAATTACATTATTTGTTGGTAAGGAGTATTCCAAAAGTTGGCGGTGGGTGGTTTTGACAAGCTTTCTTTCCTTTAGTCTATCACTTTAAGATTTGGGACGGTTAGCGAATAGCTTTGTGCGAAATTCAAGAAACACACAAAGCATATATAGACATTTTCAGTGGACATCCTATGCCCTTGGGCTGTTTAAATGGATCCTCAGGATTCGTCGTCAGCGTATTGTAGGTTGACTTTGGTAATCCAAAAGGTGGGTATGGAGCAATATTGACTCCAATATACTGCGCGATAACCTTCTGTAGCGAAAATTATACTGATGATTAATATTCCATAAACAGAACCATTACATAACTTACCATCAATGGCGGAAGAAGAAGTTGTAAGGCCAGTACAGTCATTTTGTATCGCTACCATAGATCGTGAATAACCTTCTATGGTAATCCAATCATTTGTTAGTCTATATTAATAATAATTTACTAGAATAGACGATTCGGGCTTAATTTTTATCTGGTTATATTACAGATTAGCTCTGTTAGTTTGGGTGAATCAGCAACGTTGCTTACATGATGAGATATGAATGAAACGGTTGATCAGTGATTCAAGAATACCCAGGAACCAGCAGTCACATGCTTTATGCCGTCGTTGATAAAGTGAAACGTCGTGGCTCTGAGCACATGATGATGGCGAAACAGTCATCACGTGATACACAGTCGACGATATTAATTCATTCACTCCCAGTAATCGATTATCTCGGTTATTAAGACATACCCAGAAAAACGGCATGTATACATATGCTTAGATATGTTGAGAAGTGCGTTATATATTAGTTTCTTAAACTATGATCAAGTTACATAACTCGAAACGGTTGGTGATGATCTAGTTATGTGAAACAAGTGATACTGATTTTAGCCACGTGAGCCGCTGAAAATCACGTAGTCCTTGAAATAGGTGGTGATGATATTGATTTAATCTTTTAAAACGATCGATGATGATTTAGTTCATTCTCTTGAAATGGATGACAATGTAACGATGACTTAGTCATATCATACGTGTAACAGTGATTTTGTCACATGAAACAAAATACGAGTTACTCATATGAAACGGGTAATGATGAATTGGTTGCATGAAACAAGCGATAGTGATTTAGCCATGTGAAACGACTTACGCTGGTTTAGAAGTCAAACTGGTGACGATAATAATTTAGGCACTTGAAATGGGTGACAATGATTTATCCATATAAAATAAATGTGTGACTGATTTAGACATACAATTTAGGTAACAATGATTTAATTATATTCAGCTTTTAATTTAAAGTGCAAATAAATTGATGAATGCAACTTGAAAAAGAGTTAATCACGTTCTTTTAGGAATACTTCCATCTGATGATGGCAGAGTCCAGAAATTAAATGTTTAATGTAACTAATTTACGTTTCGAAGTTTTAAGCATAAAGTTACGACTCTGTGTGTATGTAAGAACATACACGTGTACGAATTGTGTTTTTCGAATGACTTTAAGCTTCCTCCTGTTATGTTTGTTTGTTTGTAATTAAGCACAAAGCTACACAATGGGCTATCTGTGCTCTGCCCAACACGGGTATCGAAACCCGGTTTCTAGCGTTGTAAGTCCACAGACATACCGCTGTGCCACTGGGGGCCCTCGTATTATGGCTGACTTTAAATATAAACATTAAGTTATATAATAAGCAAAAAAATTAGACGGCTATAAGGCTCGTTTTTCTGTTATCCGTTCGTTTCCATAACAATAGTTTCAACCATCAGCCTTGGAAATGTCAACTGATTGTGTAGGAGGGCCTGATGATTTATTTCTTTTCTTCGAAGTTTAGTGTTCAGTAGGCAGCTCATTACTGTGTTAAGAACCCAAACAAATTTTAGAAGTCGCCAGCCAGTGAATCCTGTTGTTCTGATGTACCTTTGCTCAAGGATAGTTTTTATCATTGTTTATGAAATGGAACAGTGAAGTTCAAAAGTTATATTAAAGGTTGGGTTGTCCCTAGTGTTAAGAGCCACGGTTTATTTGTATAATAAGGAATTTTATTTTTGCTAATTTCATAATTTTGTCATAAAAAATATGCCAATTTTCTGTCTGAATTTAGAAATATTTCTTTTTCAGAACCCTACAGCTCCCAGTCCATTAGGCCAGATGCCCCCTGGTGATGGAATGACTGGCGGACCAGTAGGCCCTGCTGGTTTTTTCCCTGTAAGCCTAAACGATATTAACAGTCTGCGGATAACAACCATAGAAATATTTTCTATTGTTTCACAGTAATGAAATAGTAAAATGAGTTCCAGTTTATACTTAATAAAATGAATACTATATTTGCTAAATGGAAATTATTTTGCGTTAAAAATCTGTATTGAACAAAATTGAAATAATTCGTTATAAACAGTTTCTACCCCTTGGAGTACAACTGGTTTCTTCTAACATATTTGATTTTAATAAACGAGGAATTCACTTGTTAGAAAATCAAGTTTGGAGACGGTTTGAATGGGTAGTGAAAGAAACTATTGCAAATGTGCATGTAATAAAATTTCTTTTATTACCCAGTCAAGCCGTCTCCAAATTTTAAATTTAAGTTTAGACTTTTGTGTATATTCTAATGACATGTACAGATTATCTGAACACGTACTTATTACAGCGTTTGATAGAAGTAAATCAGCGTTGAGTAATATTAAAGCCAGTGGAAAGGAATACAACCATGTGGTTATAAGTAAACAAATTATATTATCAACAGATGGCGCTACATGTCAGTGAAAGTGCGATTTTCATCTAGAATTTATGACAGGATACCGAAACCACTTGTTATAGAAACACTAGGTTTTCTGTTGAAAAGAAAACGACCCGAAGTTTGTGTTTCAATTAACGAAAGGGAATTGTGCAGCATACATACTTATTTAAGCTACAATATAGTGTTAAGATGTTTAAAAATATGAATGCTTATGATACGTTTTTGGTTTGTTTTTTGCATGTGATGGGGAAAAATTTTCCTCAATAATAGTTATATGTATATGAATATTTTATTGCTGTTTATAATGTGCTATGTGAGTTTAGACTGAACGTAGTGCCCTTTCTACCTCCTGTAGATAGTTATCTTACTCTATATCCTCTACAGAACTCTCACATCAGACCTTCTCAGCCTCAGCAGCCAGTTTCACAGCCGTCCCCTCATTCCCAACCTCCTCCTCATAGTCAAATGATGCAGAATCAGGTGGGGTGGCGCCATCTAGCTGTGGCTGTAGTTAACTCTGCTTGTGTAATGATGAATGTGCTGTCAAACTGCTTCGTTGTTTTCTTTAAATACAAGAATGATAACTGAGCCTTAAAAATGATATTTTGTGTTTCAAATAAATTCTAGCGAGTTGAACAAAATGATTATTTGTTTTAGGTTTGCGATTTTAGTGATTTACAGTTTATTATTTATTGCCTAAATATTAGAAGAGTTTACATGCTGTGTCTTATAATTAATATTGCTGCTAAAGTAACGCATTCATATGAAAGATTTTAATCAAATTATCCGGGCTTGATTATAATCACTATAAGGTTGATTAAATAACTACTGTAAAAATATAGACATAGTTTGTAACATAGTAATTAAAAATTAGGCATACTAATTTTTTACTAAGTGTGATCGTCAGCAAGGTAGCATAATTGTGCTTTATAAAGTTAAGTAATGTTCAAGTGAAAGTATTGATAAAATAGGAAAATGTGTAATAGTTTTCTTTTTTCCAGCCGTTCATGTCACCTCGTTATCCGGGTCGGCCAGGAGTAAGAATGAGCCAACAACTTGATTTTAATGTAAGATTTATGTTATTTAGTTTACAGTTTTGCTCTATTTGCTTGTTATATTGAAATCAAGTATCTTTTAAGCAGTTTTCTTACCTACACAATAACAACATTATTTGAGATTTCAATTTTATCGACATTTCTCATAATAATAATAATAGTAATATCAGGAATTTAAAAGAACTTTCATTTGTATGTTTGTTTTTTGTTATACTGTAAAGATTGTTGGTCTTGTGTTAATCATAACTGGTATTAAAATGAGATTTACTGGGTCAGTTATGGTTAAATTTCAAGTAATGAGAGGATAGAGAGATTTAATTATAACTAGTTAATATCAAATGATACCAGATATTCACCACTACCTGTATAATACATTCCCTGGTATGCAAAAAATAATTGGACACAGAGTGTCTTAAGGGAAAGGCAGTTTTTAAGTAAAGGACAATTTATTATTCCATGACAGAATCTGTGTAAGAAGTAAAGAAGAAATTTTCAAATTGCTTAAGATCACAATCTAAGGATCTATGCATAACTTAGTGTGTTTATCTGTTTAGTAAATGTAACATTATCTCATTACAATGTTGGATAGTTTTTAACATATAATGTGGTCCTTCTCTTAGGCTCCTGGTAATGTTCCAGGCCAACACATGATACCAAACACTATGGACCCAACGAGACCAGGTAGGGGATGAAATGTAACAGATCAGAGGTTTCAGCATTGATGTGAAATGGTGCTAAATTGTCAACAGTTCTTCTGAGTTTATCTACAAAATTGTTCCCTATAATAATAAGGTTTCAGCATTGATGTGAAATGATGCTAAATTGTCAACAGTTCTTCTGAGTTTATCTACAAAATTGTTCCCTATAATAATAAGGTTTCAGCATTGATGTGAAATGATGCTAAATTGTCAACAGTTCTTCTGAGTTTATCTACAAAATTGTTCCCTATAATAATAAATTTTCCCCTACTTATGGTTAAGGAAACTATTTTCATATTTTTTTTTTAGTTGTTTACATTATTGCTAGATAATCAGATTTTTTACATTCTACTTATCAGTTTTTGCAGGATTGCTTATGCCAAGTCATCCTGGTTTTGATAAACTTTTCTCAGCATAACTTTAGGTTTGCTGATGGATTACACAATGTTGCTTAAAGTTATAAATACTATTTGGTTAGAAATACTGATACTAGGGGCAGCAGTTGTACACATTTTTTACCACAAACTATGACAAAATTCTGTTCTTCTTTTTAGAGATTTTATTCATTTACAAAACCACATCAGATGCTTTATAAATACTTTAAATATTTGTCTAAATAGCTTTAGTTTTCTAATAAATACTTTGAATTTTTGTACATTGTTTTATTCACTCATGATTTAAGTTTCCCTTACATTATTTAAGATAATGTGCTATTTTAAAACTAACTTCCTTTGTGATATAACATCCATAATCCCTGTATTACATAGTATTAATTTTCATATATATATATATATATATACTGTTCTCTCTTCAGTAATAATTGTTCTATACGATAGTAACATGACTTTTTTTTTCCCCTACTAGATGTTAGATCTAGTCATATAAAATGGTGCATGAACAAAATACTTCTCACATTCATAATTCAATGGAAAAATCTGAAATCAAAAAAAGCTTTTTAGAATTTTATTCTATATTTTGCATATGTTGGTGTACTTTGGTGACAGATTTTCTTGTAGGCAGATTTTGTTGAATAAGACCGATGTCTGTAGGTTTACTTTCTTCTTGAAAATCTTCTCAAGCAGTCGATAAGCTGTTTTAACGTTGTTAGAACAACGGGCAAAAGGTGTAGATAGTGGTGAATCGGTAGACATCAGTCTTATTCAACAGAATCTGCCTATTTTGCATATGTAAATATTAACTTTCTGGAAATGCTTATTTTAGTTTTTTCGTGTAAAGGAAGTTTGTTTGTGTTGTTGTTGTTAAGCACAGAGCTACACAATCAGCTATCTGTGATGTGCCCACTGCAGGGATAAGACTCTGAATTTTAGCATGATAAATCTTCAAGCTTACCACTGAGCCACTTATAAAGGAAACATCAGGGAGTACTTTACATTTGAATAACAAGGATCAATAAATATGACCATGTGAACTGCAAAAGGATATATATATATATAGCAGAGCCAATAAAATATAGTTTTGAGCCTTCGGATTGAATTTTTTGTGTACCCATTACTCCCTGTATTTGTTAATGTGCTTGGTTTGTTTTATTAAATATTAGAATGCTTTTAATCCTAACCTCTAACCTTTCTTCTTCCTTACTAACAGTTCTTTCTACTCATCCATCAACATTCTTGTTTCTAGCTGACGGTGGAGAGTTTGTAAGCTGGCAAGGTAAGCAACATCTCTGTGCACCTAAATGTGCCATTCATGTGTTCACATCATTCTTTTATGCACAGTTACATCTTTACTTGTCATTGTCTTTGCCTAACACTACTGTTTCTTTATTAGTATTGACATTTTTTTTTTCTGTTTAACCTCAGCTGTACCTGCTTTGTCTGTCACTACAGCAGCTACTATTTAATTAAAGGAACCAACACCTAAATTGAATTACCCTTTACAGCTTTTATTGTCACTGTAAAACCTCTTGTCTCGATGTTATGCTTTTGTTAATTAACATGTTCATTTCTTATCTTCTTATCAATAACTTCTGATCAAAGCAAGCTATCTTGGTTTCCGATCATTTGACTAATTGTTCAGTTTCAGTTAATACATACAAAACTGAATTCTCCTGTACTAACTTTAGAAACAAAAATGTATATGTATATTTAAATCTTTGTCAGCAAAGAGATTTAAAAGCTTTGAGAGTTGTGATCAGGGAATTTTAATCAATGAAATAAGTTGCTTCTGTGTATTGTAGTAGAAAAAGTGTAGCATATTCTACATTAAATTTCTTTCAACAACGGCATTATTTTAAAGTAAAACTCAATATTTTATATAAAGTAAACTATTTTAGCAGCTTAAGAAGGACAAAGATACAGTAACACTGTAAGAAATTCATCATAGAGTGTGGACCTGACCTAACCTTCCTTTAAAACCTAAGAAAAATAAATAATTGTTAAAACTGTTTATTACTACAATTTGTCCAGTGTTTAAATTATTTATATGTATTTTTGTTGTCACTGAGCTACAACATGGCAATCAGTAATGTATATTAAGTTGTCACTTCCATAAAATGTGGAAGTGTTATAAATATGTGAAAAAATATGTCAAAGCTTTTTCACAAAATAATTTTTTTACTATCTTCTTCAACAAAAAAAACTGTAATATATTAAAAATATCCATTAGTTGTTGTTGTTTTATAAATTTGTATACTTATTGTATATTTTATTTCATCTAGAATTGCAGAAAATAATAATAATAATTATCTAATTTCAGTGATGTAAGTTTTGTGGGCTTCTTTATCTTGCATACTTTGGGGGAATAATGAAAAATATTCACATTTTTTTATATCATTGTTGATGAGTATTAGCTGCCCAAAAGCAGAAAAAAAATACTAAACTGCTTAGAGGATCTTTAGAAATGTATTGAAAAGTAGGGCATATAATATCAAATATTTTCAAAAAAATTCTTATGTTTTATTTTTTTTTAGTTATTTTAATATCTTAAGTTTAGTTTCATTTGAATAAATCCATTTTCTTTTAAAGATTTGTAAGAGTAAGAAAAAAATTGTAATTTAACTTCTGTTACATTCTGAGGAATGTGCAATTAATAGTATTACAAATAACATTTGTAAAAAATGTGAATATATGTTTTAAGTGTTACAAGAAATTCATTTGTAGAAATTGAACATTCTGCTTATGTAAGATTTTAAACATTTTCTTTATTTTATTAATTTTATTTCTTAGTGTTCCAGTTTGAATTTTCTATTACAGGCCTAGATCTCAAACAGAATCAAAACAATGTGCACACTTTGAAGACATATTTTATAGGATTATGTAACATTTTTGTTAGTTTGAGACTGCAGACGTTTCATTGTTTGTATCAAAAATGAATTTTAGACAAGAGTTACAAGAATGTTGATCCTTTGTCAAGTTCTTACAATTAATGGTACACTGGAATTTCAGCTTTTTCATATTGAAAGCAATCCTTGTGAGAGTAAAATTACTGATTATATCTAAAGTGTTTTATTATCCTTTTCTTAGGACCACCAGGAATGAGCCCAATGAATTCAAGAATGAATCCACCTAGAGGACAGCACCTTGGACCAATGAATCCTGGTGTAAGGAATAAAGAATTTTTACCATTATTGATTTTGCTTCTTATACAAATTCATAATACAGTGTTGAGAGCAGACTACAAGCTCTAACCTTTTCCAGACAGGTCGTGGGTGAAAGGCCATGTCATCACGTTTGTTGACTCGCATTCAAAATTTTATTGAACTACTATTTCATGAATTTATGTCAATAAGTATCAAACTGTAGATTATAATTCAAATTTTAGTACTATGCATTACTCAGTTTGTTAATTCAAAAGTTAATATTAAAAAATAAAGATAAACATCAATTTTTGTGTGTCATGTGGTATGTTGAATGCAGCACTGGTTCAAATTAGATGTTTGTGAAGTGAAAATATTACATCTATAGTTTCATATGAATTACACACTCAAAGTACAGATATTAACAAGCTAGAATATAAAATAAGAACGTCTTATCTTTTTTTATTTGCTAAGATATTGCTCATGTAATAAATCAAACACACTGGCACCTCACCCACCTCTTTCCATTTTTGGAAATGCTCCCTTATATACACTTACTTCTATATATGACAAGAATAACCAATCAGAAGCTTAGAATGTCCTCCATTTTAATGGGCTTGGATGCCATTTCTTTCTTTTGAACCAAAATTTCAAGGAGGTAGGGTGTGTGTCTTTAGTCTGCATAAAATTTCATAGTTTTTTAGACTAAAATACATCTTGGTTACTAAGTTTGATAAATGATAGTGAAATTCTATGGTATTATTGTAGTAATTTATGATTTTTTAGTTATTCAAATGTATATGTGCAAAATGTTTAAAGGCTTAGCAACCTACGTCAAGCAGCAACCGATTACAAAGTTCATAACTAGAAGAGATAATTGTTTGCTTTTTTTC